CCGTTCTATAGACGAACGAATGAGCCTTTCGAGTTCGTCTGTCTGGTATTGCTAGTGATGGAATTCTAGCAGGGGATCCTGAGAAGCATTCCCCGTGGAAGTTTCCATAAAAAAGTGGAAGTTCGTCGACTTTCCTACGGTGTTCGGATGAAGTCAAATAGTGAGTGAGTGTGGCATCACCCACCAGACGAATTGCTTTTCTCTGGATGGAATCTAAGAGAATCAGCGTATGTTCGGTTGCTGAACCCCATACATGAGAACAGTATTCTAAAACTGTCCGTATCTTCGTGCTTTGTAGATCATGAGACGCTGCTGAGGTGTGAAGTAGATTTTCGCACGGAATAGAAACCCGAGTTTTTGGGAAGCAGCCTTCGCGATAGATCTGACATGATTATCCCATGAAAGAATATTGCTGAACGGTGGTACCAGACATTGTTATATCGGGCATACTGAGTTCCACCTTCCTAGAGAAAATACAGGCTTGAGTTGTGGTGGCGTTGAATTCTTCTAAGTTGTTGGTTCCCCAGAGCGAGAACCTGGTTGAGCTCTATCCGACAGTTGACTTTGCATGATGAGTGTGCATATCGGAAGACAGTTCTCGGGAAAAAATTGACATTTAATTAAATATTGGACATATTTCCCTCAAGGAACCCGTTGGATCCTTTGATTAATTGATATTTCGTAGTGTACGTCATAATAGTGTATGTCATATTATTTTTCTGTATGCAGATTTATTTCATCATGTTTTGGAAATGCTTTCCCCCTGGATGAAATCTTGGCTACGCCCATGGTTGAGTAATGAAATGGGTTTTATATCTACCAGTAGAACCTTACAAAACGATATAAATTAGTTAATATCTCAGTTTCTCTTAGGTATGATCTGGTAGGTGCGTATAAGTTTTTATACTATCCAGACACCATGACCAAAAAAAAATGAATGAAACTTCTGAAACTGATTATTTAATAATAATTTTAACATTCGATAATGACTATATTCTGTAGTTTTTGACAAAAGTAATGGTTTTGGAAATCATGCATTGAAGAGGAATTAGGTACATTTTCGAAAAAAAAAGTTGAATGTGCAGTTGCAGTTGATTGATTTCGAATACATATTTATTCTTCATTTTGAAAATCCTCTATCATAAAAATGGGAATGTATATATTTCAACCTATAAGACATCAGAATAAAAGAGATATCATCAACATGTCCGATAGTCAAGCAGCCATTGAAGCGATGAGCTCTATGGTAATCAGCTCTAAAGTGGTTTGGGACTGCCGGGATAAACTGAACCGGCTAGCCAACAGAAATACGGTCATCTTCTATAGGAGATTTCTGAGGAACATTTCCCGTGGAAGTATCTGTAGAAAAGTAGAAGGTCGCCGTATCTTCTACGGTGTTCTAATGAAGTCTTAGTATCAGTGAGTATGGGATCACCCACCAGGCGAATTGCCCTTCGATCTCTGGATGGAATCTGAGAGCATCAGCGTATGTTTGGGTGCTGAACCCCATATGCGAGAACAGTATCCTGGAACGGGCAGTATCTGTGCTTGGTAGATCATCAGAAGCTGTTGAGATGTGCTGTAGATTTCCGCACAAAATAAAAATCCGAGTTTTTGTGAAGCAGCTTTCGCGATGGATCTGACATGATTATCCCATGAAAGAGTCTTGGTGAAAATGGTGATACCAGACATTGTTATATCAGGCACATTGATTTCTGCTCTTCTAGAGAAAATACAGGCTCTAGTTTTGGTGACGTTGAATTCAACTAGGTTGTTGTTTCCCCATGTAGTTTTAGCAAAATCGTCATTGGCAGCGTTGTCCTTTAGAGTACTATCGTCTGCAAAGCTGTGGATAGGGCAGATGGTTGCTCCCAACAGATAATTGATATGAAGTACGAACAATGTAGGTACCAAGATTGATCCTTGTGGAACGCTAGGAATTGATGGCAATGGTATCAGAAGATAATCCGTCCACCCACCACATATGAAGCAATCTTCCTGAAAGAGAACTCGGTAAAAGATGGCAAAGCTGGGGTGGTGAGCCGTATGATGGTAGTATGTGGAGGAGTCCTTGGTGCTAACCACGGTCGAATGCCTTCGATATATCCAACGCCACAGCTAGAGATTCATCATGTTTTTTAATGAAGCTTGCCATATACGCAGTAGAAAATTTTCTAGTGTAATCTCAATCGAGTGGATTTTAGAAATAACTCCGATTGAAACACTTGAACTAGAAATTTGATAATACCGTGTACAGTGGTGTCAATTCACACCTTCATAGTTCAATATCACACGGATGTTGGTTCTGAAATATTCATTCAAAAGAAACATCAGAAGTATGAAAAGTAATTACTTTCGATAGTGGTATTATCCAGGTTAACGCAAAAAATACCTACACTTATTATATAAAATCAACACCTTGTTACACTCTGACAAATCAAGAATGGAACAAAACCGTGTTTTCCACAAATGCTGGTATACAGATTGATAGGTGACAATAGGAACGGATGGTTTCGTGAAAATAATGTATTAAATGAATTTTAAGTTGATTCACCAATTATACAGGGTGGCCCTTTGAAGACGAAACAGAGGCTCTGTAGGTCGCCAAAACCGGATTATGAAAAAAATCTTAAACACGTCAACTACATTTTCGAGGGGGACATCGTTCTACAATATTTTCAGCCCTGCGGCGTTGCCGCTGCTAACGAAAAGAAGCAACAACTTTGTTATTTCAAATGGAACACCTTGTATTTTATTGCATTTTCAGATTCTCCCCGAAGAGCTGATTTCATCAATGCATCACACTTGGGGTCTAGCTGTTATGGTTTCAGGGATATAAAGTGTTCAAAATCGAGATTTTTCAACTTCAAAAATTTTTTATGTCGAAACTATTCATTATTGGTCAAAACGACTCCCATGTCCCTATCTCAACTTGTGATTCACTATCTACTAACATTCAATTGGAACAGATACAGGGTGATCAGAATTTTGAATCTTGAACCACCCTGTATTTGTTTCAAATAAATGTCAGTAGATAGTAAATCACAAGTTGAGATAGGGACATGAGAGCCGTTTTGACCAATAATAAATGGTTTCGACACAAAAAAATGTTTAAGTTGAAAAATCTCGATTTTTAACACTTTATATCCCTGAAACCATTACAGCTAGACCCCAAGTGTGATGCATTGATGAAATCAGCTCTTCGGGGAGAATCTAAAAATGCAATAAAATACAAGGTGTTCTATTTGAAATAACAAAGTTGTTGCTTCTTTTCTTTAGAAGCGGCAACGCCGCAGGGCTGAAAATATTTTAGAAAGATGTCCCCCTCGAAAATGTAGTTGACCTGTTCCAGTTTTTTTTGATAATCTGGTTTTGGCGACCTACAGAGCCTCTGTTTCGTTTTCGAAGGCCCACTCTGTATATGATGATTTCGAGATTGCGAAGCTAAAAAGAGTAGGTACTTATATCGAACCAGATTGAAACATAAAATTGAATATCAAAGTATAAATAGAGTGCACAGACAGACAGTCTTCAAATAGTATCACCTCAGAGATATTATATAATGTCTCAACTCTCACTACATGGAATGATTTCATGCACTGAATATATATCAGAGTCGTGTTATCCAACAGTCAGATGCAGACAAGAAAGCACCGCTTCTCAGCATGATAACACTCAATAGGTGTGTTTTCACAACAGAAAAATGCCCGAGAAATATCCGCATACATAATATTATCAGTGAAAGCAAAAACGCAACAGATACAGTGTCAAAATAATCATCAAATGATTGTATAGTACACCACTTTGGTGTTGAATAACAGGAACCGATCAAATTTGCACTAGATACTCTAGTGTAGTTCTTGGCTGTATGTAAGAACGAATAATAATATGATGGAGTTGAGAATATCAGTGTTAATTCTCACTATAGAATAATCAGGACTTCAGGGGACACCGGAGGGTGTTAGCTGGTGTGAACTGGTGTTATTTTTTTCTTCACTGTGTATGGTTGACGTAGGCAAGTAAATAGCCAGTTGATCTTCAGTGGTGAAAGCCATAGTCTATCATTGATGATTCCCAAGCTTTCCAGATATTTGATGGGCTCAATTTTGACGGCTTTCTCCATCACTTTGGACATGATTGATAACAGAACAATTGACCTATAGTTCTTAGGCAGGCGTTTGTTTTCTCTTTTGGGGATTGGTTGACTTCCTGTATACTGTATATTGTATACTTAGATCTGACTTAGATCTGACTTAGATCTGTTAATGAAACTGAGAACCCTGGTAGAAACTGACGTTTGTTATTGATTCATCTTTGTCTGTCTAGTAGTTTCCAAAGCCCCTGTGGTAGTACCGATCGTCACTTTTTTCCTACCTTACCATTTCAAAATTGGCATAACCAGATACTGTCAGATTTTAACTCAATCCTCAAAAATGTATTTGATTTTAAATTATTAGATTCAGGAGTATATCATGATCGAAAACCAGGATAACTTGGAAGAAATCAATGAAGAACCTGATCAAGAATCAGACTGTGTTGGATACTACACAAGATCGAAAAGACGGAAACTCAACCATGATGTGGAAAAATGTACCACCAGTTTCAGAGAACACACAGACAGAAGAAGAAAGAATCCTATCATGTTCCTGCCAACGGAAATGCTGCGTGCTATATTCGAAAATATCGACTACCATGAATTAAGTATGGCATACCTCATTTAACTATAAACTCTTCTTCATGGTCAAATAACAGTTCTCGGTTTACCTAGCCTAAAGAAAATATATGTATTCTCTGCTCACATTATGGTCAAATAACAGTTCTCAGTTTACTTAGCCTGAAGAAAATATCTGTGTTCTCTGCTCACATTATATACAATGAGTTTCATTCATTGATATTTTCGAACAGTCAACTCGTATTTTCAGAAAACTTCGACCACATTTTCAATATTGTCTGTCGCTGAAGCTGATATCAATTTTTGATAGGTCAAAACGTTCGTCTAGTCAATACAAGATTCAGGCTGATAGCTGAAGATCTGTTGAACAAAGCATACAAGAAAATAGAACAGCAACTGGAAACTCTCGTGAAAACAACAGAAGTATCTTTGAGTTGCAACATCGACGACATGGAAATCAGATGTTTATTGAAACTATTGAATTTTCTAGAGATTTTAAAAATGCAGGTATTTGAATTATTCGAATGGATAGTAAGAATAGTGAATCATATTCTTGAGTCTACTGGTAGTATTGTCTCAGTAAACTGCGAGTTTCATTTGGCATCGTAATGTGGATCATAAAATGACCAAAAGGGCCCGGAATAGCAGTCATTGTGATATCAATGGGACTGCCAATTCGAGTTAGGGATGTGATGTGTGACATGAATGTAATGCCTTATAATATCAATTTGTGATGACTGTGGTGTCTCAATCATAACACTTTTTTGGTAGAATTATTATCAAGTCGAGTCTTTCAGCAATAAATGACATAAATTACTCACTAGAAATTACTAAATGCTGTGAGTGAGTAACATTTTTAGACGAGAAATATGGAAACAATTTTCGGGTTGCTGTGATAATATGACATATACATATAATAATATGAAAACGAGCAGCACTCAATATTATAATTATTTTCAGTTGAACTAAAAAACAAATTATGTTTTCGGCAACCGCCTGGGAGTGCTCACTTCCCGGATTATAGTGTAGTGGATACAAAGAACAAGAAGTATACAATTTCCTCATGAGTGAACTACGTTGACTTCATAAACTGATAATTAACTTGCTCATCTGTACACTACACACTGTTTTACCACTGACCAAACCGATTTTTTACACCCCGACACGTGTTTCGCTTACTATGTTAGCATCTTCAGGAGAAGATTAAAACTGTGTGTGTTGTGTTTCGTTTCATTTTGGGTCAATAATCATAATTGATTGAAGAAAGAAAACGATAAAAATCATGTTCATTCTCAATAATTTCAAATCATTTGTAGAGCCAACTGAACATACATTTTTTTCCAGTATGATTTAGTTATTTCTACAATCTGGAGGTACGTGTACAATGAATACTATCGAACTAGCAGATCTTGTATGTATGGAGGACAACTCATTGATGCTCATCGTTTATTTATTTTCAAATTCCTGTACTATCCCAATACCCTTTATGGTCCAGCGGTTGTTAAAGAATACGTGAGTATGTGGAATACACATCTGTTTATTATGAAAAAATATTTTCATGTAGATATAGTGTGGAGTTCATTGACTTTCCAAAATTTTTTAGGCCCTGCCACCAGAAGTAATCAAAATCATTCAGATGACGAAAAGTTTTTGTGTTCATTTTGATAAAATTAATGAAGAACCTCTAGGCGATAGCTTGGTGGCCAGTGGTTGTAAGATCGTGGACATAGTGAAATGTTCGAAGTTCAGTCAAGAACTGTTATCCACAGAGAACAGCTCGAAGGATTATTTCAGAGCAGAAGTGAGTATTGGCCAGACATCTTCGTTTCGCGCCCATATCAGTCAGGAACTCACGCCCAGTCAAGCCTAGAGTCCCTGATGTATGTATAATTCCCTGTATATATTTGTCAGTTTTGTTGTAATTCGCGAAAATCACGAAGTCTCTGGTGGCTAACTTCACAAGTCTTGCGAGTATGAACAACAAATATAGACTGTTGGCCCACGACACAGGGTTTATCGATGTTCTAAGTCTGTATGCCATTTAAGGGACCCATTCACTCAGTCCGAGTTAACAATAAGAAGTGCCTCGGAGAGTCGCAACCCAGTCCTTGCCCCGGCCCTGACATCACCTTCCGGTTGGAAAAAAGTTCAAAATTTTGTTTAAGAAGGAGCTCGGCAATGAATTGCAATGATCTTATCTCACGACAATTGGGGCGCTTGCTGGTTTGCATACGCCTAGGTCACTCCCCAAGGGAGGCATACGAACCGGAAGTGGCAATTTTTCAATATTATAGTCGATGATCGAAGAATGTATGCCCTTTGGCGAAACAATGAATTCTGATTCATTAATCAGTTTCCTGACATTTGCATACGATTCCGGAGAGGGGTGCTCGACTTATTCGAACATCAATTGACTAGACATCTTTCAAATAATCGATGATTTAAGTTCGTATGCAAATCTCTAGACCGATAAACTAGGATATTCTTTATAACTGGATGCTATTTGCATACGAATTCAATGTGAGCATACGTTGTAATAATCGGGCAAACCCGCGCGTGCCTCGGTCCGGCGCGGCGCCCCGCACTGCAGGCCAGAGGTGCGCCGAAAGCGAACTAGATAATCGGAAAGTCTCATAATCTCACTTCACATGAAACCGGGTCAAAGATTATCTTCCTGGTAGTGATGAGGATATTCGAAGACGCAAATTGCAGATATATTTGTATTTATCCATCAGAAATTTACAGCTCAACAAAATTACATGTGTGAGAGGTTTAGTACCAAGAAATTTTTTTGTGTGATTTTAATTTGAAAAACAGGGTTTTTAAAAGATGATGAAAAAAATTTACAACAAGATACTCACAAGATGATCAAGAGGGATCGTACAGGGAGAAGAGGGGTGGATTATTGCTCATGATCGAAACTCACAATAAATCGAATTGAAATTCTTCCTGGGGCTTATGGGTCTGCTTATCATAATACTGGCGTCTAAAAAATATATAAAGAATGTTTATTTAGTTTGTTGAATGTTTTGGGTATAGTATGGGGTCCTGAACTTTAATCTACATTTTTGTTTTCCACATAAAAAAAAATTATTTGAAAATGAAATTATATTAAATGAGAACAGCATTACATTTCAAAGGAGAAATTATACGTCGTCCTCTCTATCATTATCTTCAGAGTCATCTTCGCTCTCGCTGTCTGAAGATGATTCTCCAGAGTTGTCATCAGTACCTGTTAGTAAGAATATTATTTAATTATTGAAAAATCTTGGCATGATCGAAAGATATACCTGATACTTTCTCAGTTGAACTCTCAGAGATTATGATCGTACCAAAAAAAAGAATCAAGGGCCCAGCCCCCTTCATTATTTTTCATGTGTAACTGACAATGACATGACTTCATCAAACCACCACCACTGGTAGGGAAGGCAGTAAGAAGTGAATAAATCTATAATATACATTATACAAAAGTAAATGGTTTTTGAGATATTTAAATATCGGATCTCCGACAAAAGGAAAAAACATTATTGAATGCCTACTAAATCATTACGTGCTACACTCTACCCGGCTGCTGCAGCAAATCATTGTTCAGATATGAAAATTGTTTCAGCAAAAAAAAGGAAATACTTTGAACCCGGGATTCATATTTCTGGCACAATTTGACAATTTGGCGCATGATTGCTATAAGAGTGCTGCGTGTAAATGATATCGCTAGATGCTGTAGAGCTGTATTCGTCATAATAATCTAAACTCGATAGTGAAGTAAAGAATAGTGTTTCAGTAAAAAGAAATCAACAACTACCCAATAGTTTATTTGTTATGAACAACCTGTGCATTTTTCGATAACAATGAAAAATCTCTTAGGAAAAGCATTTTAATTGGTTTTTGAAATTTTAAAATCGGTTCAGAAACAACTATGTTACAATGGGAGATATTTAAGGTGAAACACCCTGTACGGAATGTGCAAATTGTATGCAAACCATCATCTCATATATACTGTGTGGTCCACTAACCATGGTCAAAATTTGAACATTTCTTCGATTATCGATTATTTGAAGAATATCCAGTCAAATGATGTTCGAATAAGTCGAGCACCCCTCTCCGGAATCGTATGCAAATGTCAGGAAAATGATTAATGGGTCCGAATTTATTGTTTCGCCAAAGGGCATACATTCTTCGATCATCGACTATAACACTGAAAAATTTCCACTTCCGGTTCGTATGCCGCCCTTGGGGAGTGACCTAGGTGTATGCAAACCGGCAAGCGCCCCAATTCTCGTGAGATAAGATCATTGCACTTCATTGCCGAGCTTCTTCTTAAACAAAATTTTGAAATTTTTTCCAACCGAAAGGTGAGGTCAGGGCCGGGGCAAGGACTGGGTTGCGACTCTCCGAGGCACTTCTTATTGTTAACTCGGACTGAGTGAGTGGGTCCCTTAAATGGCATACAGACTTAGAACATCGATAAACCCTGTGTCACGGGCCAACAGTCTAATATGGCGACCATTGTTTTGAGTTACTGTGTTTTATATGAAAATAATTCATTTGTTGAAGTGCATATTCCAGAACCTTATTTCTCCCTGATGAAAACACTCGAATTATTGCATGAACTTTTATTGTTTACAATGACGAAGCCAGTACCTACCGTATAATAATATAATATACATTTTCTGAAGCATAGTTAGAATTCTTGTATAAATGTTGGTTGCAATGATTCGATCTTGAGAATAACTCCAAGTCTTCAATTGCTGGAGATCCTTGTTTATGTAAATCGATGATATTGTTCATTCTGAGCAGCCTTTCTAACCATATCTTCTTTTCCCAGCCCCTTCACTTGAATTCCATCTTCATAAAAGCCAGTGATATTTCTTGATGAATTAAATTATTTCTTCATACCTATACCATATTGTTGTAATAGCTGATTGCTTATATGGCTCCCTGCCAGTCCATGCAAGTGTTGAGTGGACCATTCCATATGTTTGGAAACAGTGGATTTGTAGTGTGATATCAATGATGAATACCACCATTGTTCACATCAAAATGGCAATTTCTCTGTACGAATAGTAATTTTTTCCATACTGGAAACCTTGTACGTATTTCACGAAGTCAACTCATTATTCACTATTTTGCAAAATGATTTCAAAATAACCAGTGCATACGGCAATGTTTTTGTTGTTCATACTCAGTTTGAAATTTGACGTTGATTTGACGTTAAATAGAGCCATCTATTGGTTCGTGATTTTCGCGAATAAGAGTACGGACACTATGACAAGCAGTGACGGGAGGCATAACTCCAAATTCTCAAAATGACTTTTGAACAAAGACATGGATATGCTTGGGTCTTTTGTTGATCTGAGCTTTTCCATGCACTTCGGATCTTCTATCCTCTACTGCCGCGGAGAAGAGGGTACATCCATATATCTTTCTCTGTCTTTATTTTCATAAAGAAGTGGCGTCTCATCTCACTGGCGAAAAGGGGTCATAGTTTGTAAATCAATTTGTTGAAAGTATTTCTCGATATACTTAACAAAGGGTATATGTACTTCAATTTATTTGATTTTAGGATGCACTAGTTTTTCAATAGATAGAGTCAGGATTTAGTAGCCAGTTCTGATGGGCAGAATGTAAATGAATGGAAAGAACAATTCAACCAATTAACAAACTTATATTTGTTTTCATAACATACTAAGACACTTCATAGGGCATGAACGATCAGAAAATTCGACAAATACAAGTATAATGATTATAATTCAAGAATAGTATATCCTATGACAAGAATACAAAATTTCAAATAATGGTAGAGTAGAGTGGGGTAATATGGCAACATAAAATTTAAATGCTCACAATCTAATAACCATCGCGCCTAGCTGAAAGACGATTGCTGCACGTTAAAGCTTACACAATATATTTTTGTGTCCAGAGTCGCTCGTTGCCATTTTTCCACACAGCAAAAGATCACAAGTTAAAAAAGACAACAATCTCTTTCACATGTAGGAAGATTTTGGATTTTTATTTTTAGATAATGAAAAAATTCATTCAATATACCAAGCTCGAAATTAATATTTGAAATTTTCCTATTTGAAGTTCGTAGCGATGGTAATTGATATTGAAATTTGAGTAATGTTTCATAACCGGATGATCCACACATGAATTTTATGACTGAAGCTTTTTCGACACTCTCTGCATTCCATCTATTACCATTATATTCAGAATTATGAGAAATATGTTGCTCATAAATAGCAACTTTACTTAGAATACCTTTTAATTTGTAATCGATTTCATTAATTCGCGTTTTAAAATACTGGAATTGACTATAATTTTGGTTGAAATATATTCCGAAACTATCAATTTGGGTCTTAAGTCGATTCAAAATATTCGTAACTTGCCGTCTTGTTTCAGAATCTCTTTGCTTCAAGCTATTTTTCAAATGTTCGTCCTTTTCTTTGATTTTTTTTTTCTGTATCTTTCATTTAAAAAAAATCAGGAAACTGGTGAAAGATGCCCTTTTGAAAAGAGCCTACTATAATATTGAGGAATTTTACAATGAAACTCTGTTATGACCTCAACATGTACTACTCCAAATAGTATATATTTTATTGATCTGCTTTTACAATTGTGCGCTTCAATTTTTAATGTGTACTGTTCATTGTCCTTTTACACTCAATGAGATTATTTGTTTTTATATTATCAATTTAGTTGTATTATGTTTATGTTATGTTATAGTTTTATCATTTTTTTTTGAATGCTATGCTTTGTCAATAAGAAATACTGTTTCTTAGACAATAAAGTATATTTCTCTCT